CGGAACAGTGTTCCTGTTTAAAACCATTTTGACCTCTGAAACTAATCTTACTCACCCCTAAAATCAAATGGAATGGATAGGTGATCAAGAATGGTGTAGAAACGAGTTTGTTTACTTGGCATTAACCTAAACATGTCCCTTGAATCTGATTGGTTGATCGGGATGTTGTTCCAAATTGAACCATTTAATACATCTGCATGTTTTGAGTGTATAGAATATTCAGATTACATTTTACTTAACCTCCTAGGGCTTGAGCATCCACATATGTGGACAGCACATTTTAGCTCTTAAGTGGCTATTTAAAATACTATGAATGTTTTATATTTTGTTACAGACATACAGTGTCATCCTGCAACTGTTTTGCAGTATAGGAAACGTCCCAAACACTATGTTTAACTGTGTAAAATGGGGAAAAAATTGTTTTTACTCTCTGATAGTCAAAGCAAGTAAAAAAATGTATATGTTATATATGCATTAAAAAACAATTAGAAAAAAGTGTTTTATGTAAATTCGGACCACGAGTCCACATATATGGACATCATTTTTCTCTAAAAGTACATCATATCAAAAGATTATACTTAGATTTTATTTTGATTAGGTTCTAATTAGCCCAAATATCAAAGAGAAATAAAAAATGCATGTAAAAAAAACACCTTGGGCCTTAAGAGGTTATATGTGACATACTAACTAAATAATCAAACACTGTTTCACAAAATGTAATGCACTTGACCTTCCATTTCCACTGTGTAAAATGAACCAGAAGTTTTATATCAATATTGCTTTTAATATAAATAAACATTATTCACACACAATGGTATTTATGTATATTTGCATTACGCCCAGATTATATAAGTACACCAAATTCATATTTTAAATAGGAACCTATACAGTATTATATTTGTGAATATACATCAGTACTGAAGCCAAATCTGGAGCTTATCTAACAAAGCAAAACTTACCACAACGGTCCAAAAACTAATACACCCTAATTTATATGTTATAGACAAATATTAAATACTAATTTAAAAAAGAGAAAAAATCAATGAAAAAAAAAATGAAAAATTTAGTTGAAATTTTGTATGTTGTAATTTTGTTTTTGCTTAAGTTTAATTGCATAATCTTTTAATTTCAATGTATGTTTGGTGACTAAAGTATTAATTTAATAAATACATCTGTTTAATACATCTGTTTTGTTCAAGTGCAACAAAATGCATTGCCTATAGTCACTGAGAATTGGATAATTGGTGTACTTAATTATGCTGAATGCTGTATATTTGTACACTACCAGTCAAATTTGGAATAATGAATAATATAATAAACGTATTCTGCTCACGAAGACTGCATTTATTTAATATAAAATACCATACCATACCATTGTTATTTGGGAAACTGGTAGAATACCATTCAATGTCCAAGTACCATTTTACCTAAAAGTGCTTTTTTAGAAAAAAGATTGTAAATAAAAGTCATTATTTTAAAATTTTGTTTCTGTGAACTTTCGAAACGATTATTTTTATGAAAAAATTTTAGCAAATAAAAATGTGTCAGTTTCCATGATACTAGCCAAAAAAAATTCAACGTAGTAAAAAAAAAATTCTGTAGTGATTGTAAGAATCTTTATTAGTGATTTCGCACAAATAATAACTGATCATAGTAGAACAGCAAATCTTCATAACATAATACTTTCTGAATCTTTAAATCACAGGAATCAGGCTTTAAATCACAGGAATACATTAAATTTGAAACCAAAAAATTTTTTCAAAAATTTGAAAAAAAAATCTTTAAATTGTAATAATTTTTCACAATTTAACAGCTTTTTAACTGTATTTTTGATCAAATAAATACAGCCTTGCTGAGCAGAATTGTCTTGTTTTACAACATAAAATATCTTATTGATTTTTTAATTTTTTAATGTTAGTGTATTTCTGTATACATGTATTTATTAAGATTCTTTCTTTTACTTTTAACAATTGGTGAAGTTTGTTCCTTGCCACTGTCACCACTAGCTAGATTAATTTAAGACTTGTGCAGCTGCACATCAATGGATTTGCTCTTCAGTGTTTGGACTTTCTGCAGTAAAAATTAAACCACACTGAACAGAACTAAACTGAATTTCAACTCTGAAAACTGGACTCAAACAATTTCAGTTTATTAGAACGTCTATGCAAAGCTACTTTGACACAACCTGCATTGTAAAAGTGCTATAGAAATAAACATGAATAGAACTGAATTATTAATTTAATCTTTTAATAAATATTTATTTTTATTAAGCAGCGGTTCATTCCGCTGTGGCGACCCCGGATTTATAAAGGGACTAAACCAACAAGAAAATGAATGAATGAATATTTTTATTAAGCATTTTTAAAGAATTAAAAACGCACATATGTAAATGATAATTTCTGTATTGTCAAATTATATTTATTTGACTAGATGCCATTCATTTTAAAAGCTTACATTTAAATAATTTATATTGTTAAATTTATATTTAATGCTTTAGTAACCGCTTAAAGCTTCAGCATCGTATTTGATTTACAGATTGAGAGACAGACGGTGACAAAACACTGTCAATAAAATCTGAGAATTAGCCATTGTGCCAATTAGCCAAAATTAGCCATTTTGGCATACAGATCTGTGGGTGAGAAATATCTAAATGAAAGTGCTTGCAAACGTTGGACTTGTTTTTTTTTTTATTTACTGCCTTCATCAAGACCCTTCTAAAAGCATCAGTGGTTGAATTCTAGCAGATTGAGGATATTTACTGATATAATGAAAGCTAAGTGGCAGAATGGTGTTGTGGATGCTCTGATTCTTCATCTGATTGTCATTCTGCATGCGACTCTTCACTGCTGATGAAGCTTCTGGAGGCTTTTGCTCTTAAAGCATGAAACTGATTACTGAGCTATTAAATGCAGCCCGACAACAAAGTCCATTCCCTACTCTGCTTTACATCATTGTTTGAATCTCTTTCCTGCTGATTTCTCCCTCTTTGAGAGAGAGACTAAAGGAGAAAGTGTTTGGTGGCTCTTTGTCTCTTCTGTCAGTCAAGCTGATCTGGGCTCTGATTAAGTTGCTCTAATTGGACTTTGCTTCAGAATCGACGGGTGAACAATGAGACACTTTAATGAATTGCTCGTGCTGCGGTTTGTGCTGTCTTTTCACAAACTGAGAGAAATCGCTGTGCCATTAGCACCGAATCACATGCCAAGAGGCGTAGATACAAAGAACTTTATCCTTTAAGTCAAAGAACAAACCAAATAACTAAAAACTCTCTCAGAACACATAAACTGAAGCGCTCAGAAGTGCTTTGTTACAAACTAAAAGACGTCATTGAGGTGTTTCAGGCACTTGAGATGTGATTTTCTGCTTAACCTGTAAGCTCTGAGTTGATTTCTCTGTGTTTTTGTGCTTTGCATGAGCAGAAAGACAGAATGTCCCTGTTTGAAGGCCAGAGGCTCTGCAACTGCTCCAACACTCCACACACAGATGGTGCCTTTACATAACGGACGCATTCATTACATCCACATCATTTCTCAAATCTCACGCTGAAATCATCTCGTCCTTCAGTTTAGAAATCACATGCAACATGTCAGAAGTGTCTTAAGGTCACCAAACAAAACAAACTCCATCTTTTGTACAGGCAGCATCTCTGACGTGACATTTGAACAGTCAGACGGGACTCTCTTTATAGCAGGCGACAAAATAAAGGTCGTGAAAATCTGGAGCCTCATTAAAGGGTTCGGCCTGTTTGAAAAGATTCAGTCAAAGGATCCTGCAGGACGTCAATCAATAGAGCAGCAGTAATGAAAAAGGCTCATTAGTGACACGAGAGCATGTGTAGAGCTTTCAAAAGATGCCAATCCTGTTGTACTGTAAATCACAAGACTGTCAACAAGCAATTGATCATCTTGTGTCCTGTGAACAACTGAAAGCTTCATGAAGCGCAAGGAAAAGATTTTGAGACAGAACATCATGTGCTAACTCTTGTGAGAAACAAGCACTCTTTAGCACGTCTACTTTAAAAAGAATATACTTGTGTTATTTTCTGGCATACTGCATAAGCACATGATTTTTTACATCAAAATTGTAATGTACAGTTTAGGATAGTCATTTTAATTACAGTAAATACAAAGCATTACACTTCATTCACAAGGGAAACATATCAGCTAGACTGCTACATTTTCCTCATTAGCACTGAACAGTTAAAATGTAATTACAGGTAATGTTATAACTATAAAGTCTCTTAAAAACCTGCTACAGTAGATAATCCAGCTTAAGCAGTTAGCTGTGTTTTTGAAGATGCTAGCTGGCTAATATGCTACAGAGAAGCAGAATGACAGTATTGTTCATAACACAACTAAAGCCGGCTTTTCCAGGAGGCAAAGATGAGAAAGAAATGCAGAAAGAAAAGCACTGAAATGTTTGTGTGTGTGTGTGAAAATGATGAGGGTCTTAACCTTATTAGCAAACTGAGCAACTGCTTCCCAGAGAGCGTTTACAGAGTAAAGCACATGATTAATATTACATGCCTGCTGAAACACACACACACACATTTGGAGATTAGTGAGCAGACGGCAGGAGAGCGACAGACAGAAGCCCAGAGAGATTGATGCCTACATTCAAATGAATACAGAGAGCTGACAGGAACCCAATGGAGCGAAACGAGTCGTCCAGAACAAACACACTCACACTTACAACTACATACAGCACACACACAAGTCAATACAGCCACAAACACACACTTTCACAACACACGCAAAGTGCGTACTCTGATTCCCAAGACCAAACACAGGCGCACGCGCCTGCACCACTTTGAGGATCAATAACGCAAGAACTGTGTTGATATCGACACTCTTCACATCTTTACATCAACACAAAACATGAAGTCACACAGAACCGACAGCAGGAACAATGAAAAATCTGATGAGAAGAACATTTATCACCAGTTTCAGCAGCGTCACTGAAGCCAGATAAAGATGAAGACATTTCACCGGCCGGCTTACCTAATTTGGGGAGGGAATATTTTACTTTGAAGTAATCCTGGTAAAACTGCAGGAGTCTCTTGGTGATGCGCAGAGCGTAGTCACCCGATCCGCTCTGGATGGCATCAGGTCTGGCGTACAGCCGAATCTACAACAACAACACAACAGAAAACAGAAGTCAAAATGGACTCTTAATCGGCTTCCTTGAGGAGAAATGTAGAATAAGCCATGGTGAATTTATCTACCAAACGCCTTCATCTGGCTGAATATTTTATTCATCTTTCAAGTGCATCCGCCATCTATTATGCAAAACATTAAAAACTAGAGTGCCACAAAATTAAAAATCAATCATTTTCACCCAAGAACCTTTTTTTTTAAGCAGGGCAACCATGATTGCAATGTTATTATTGAATTATGAAGAACTGCTACCCATAAATCTTTAAAAAAAAAAGATTCACCAGAAAAGTTGCTTTTACCAGTGGAACTGAAGCCTGTTCTCTATATTTATTTTATTGTTTATTTATTTATTTGCAACTTATTTATGTGATTTTTACCATTATTACTCCACTCATCTGTGTCTTATCCTTCGCAAATCATATAAAAACTTTATACTGATTTAATGCGTAAAAATGACATGTAGTCATCAAATTCACAGAATGTGTTTTATGTTTTATCAGAGATACCCAAACTAGGGAGCTCGGGCCAAAGTTGGCCCATAGTAACCTTTGATTTGGCCCGCCATCCAATCTGAGAAGATTGATGAGAATGATGGGCATGATTTCGAGATTGTCTATTCCAATGCAATGCAACCGTTTGTTTGTTTTATTGTTAAAAGCTGCTATTAAATGCTTCAATTAAAAAATGTAAATGAATCAGATTTTGTTCAAATGTACATACTGTCACCTGACAATGCAGAGAGTTTGGTGAGCAAATAAAGCCAAAGGCAGATTCTGCTTGACTAGTGTATTCAGTATTGAACACCAATGTATAGAAAATGTGATTGTTTATGTTTTATTGCAATAAGTTTACATTTAACAAAGTGATATATCATTAGTTAATATGATTTAAGTTAATGTTTTCTATTTATTTTGAAATATTCTGAAAAAAGTCGGAAATTATCCATGGCAACTTTAATGTATTATAGTTTGGTATATTTACCTTCGACCCGTGGATCTCAATGATATTGAAGTCTTGCACATATGTGCATTTCATTTTTAAAAATGCTTTAGCAGATTTCAGTCTTATTGTCCCCAAAACCATCAAGATACTGTATATGTTATTATTCATCTATAGTATTCAGATACTGCTTATATATTTTAAGGTTTCTCAATAAAATGTTTTTTTTTTCATGTCTTCAAGCTGGTTGGCTTGGTTTCATGGAATTCAGTGACCTATACTGGTTACTGCTTTAAAACCTTTGGCATATAAAAAATAACTGGGGGGAAATAGATAATCAGCTCTTGTGCACTTTTATAAAACTCAATGCTATTAAACTTCAGCTGTTGAAAAATGCCATTATATGTCTTATTTACGTCAATTGTAAATATGCATTTACAGTAAATTAAGTAGAAATCTGAAATGTTAGATTAATATTAGAATTCAACAGAGATCCTTAATTCTTTGTCAGCAGTAAATAATTAAATGTGTGTGAGAGAGGAAGTGAGAAAGGTGAGAAAACGAGTGTGAAAGAGGAAGCGTGTGAGGTGTGGCTCACTGGGAAATGTATTCCCATAGTGAAAATGATCTTGGACTCTTTTAGCCGAAGGCTTTCTGAACGGTGCAGCTTTCTGAACGGGCATCCATCTAGTCTGAATGAATGTCCTCCTACACTAACAGAGTCAGCCTGCAAAACAAGCAGAAGGAAAGCCTTTGTTTTACAGCCTGGCAGCAATGCGCATTGAATTGTGTGTTGTTTACCGCACATGTTGCTGGCGTATCGATCAACTCCATGTCTGATGTAAAGATGAATGGCTGGCACTTAGAGCTGAGGAAATGATTGGAAGCTCAATCAAATCAATGTGATTTTAAAACAACCTGTAATTAGACAAAGCGCTCAAGTTGACGATCAAGAGGCGCTTCATTAATCAGCCGTTGTGGAGATTGTTCGCTGACTCCAGTGTCGACTGCTTCATCTGTTTGTTTGTTTGCTTTTGTTGACGGCAGCGTGACAGAGACTTAAATGGGGTTAATTGAACTGTAATAGACAGATTCTCCACGAGCCGCTGCTCAACATTGATAATAAGCTCTTTTTGATGAAGCTTTAGTTGACATTCAGAACACCACGATGAGCTCTTGACCTGAAGCAAACAACCTGTTGAGTTATTATGCTATACATTTCTGTATATGAGAGATACTTCACAGATACTTTACATAATCTTTTCTACATCTGTCTGATTGAACTTTAGTTAATATTGATCCATGTTAGAAAGTCTAGCTACTAGTTTATTATTAATTTGTTGTGTACAAGAGTAGTTTAGCAGCTTGCCTGACATTCATGCAGTTATAAGCTGATGTTTTAACTGAAAACCTACATTTGTGTGTTGAGGCATTAGTATTCTACTGCTAAAACCATCATTTTGCCCATTAAATGCTGTAAACATGCTTTTTGATCTGGCTGAGTAATTTCATGAATATCTAATGAGCACATGTAGTATGGTGGTGCTGAATGTTGATTAGATATTAGCGGAACATTTGTCATTTTAATGATAAGATAAATAAAAACTGAATGACACTAAACCAGAGGATTTAATATCGGCTGATATTAAACACGGTGTTGTGAATCAAACGTGATGCTTTCAGACAATCAGATTACAAGATCCTTTTGTTTTAGCAGTTTTGGTAATATAATATCCAATTGGTTGTTTTTTTTTTTTGTGATGAATTTGTTTGATAGATGGTTGGCTGGATAGATGGTTGATTGGCTGGATGGATGGATGTGCCTTGTACTATGTAAATTACGAAATATAAACAACACTCTACAAAATGTAATAGTGAAACTAAATTGTACATTTAGGGGTGCAACATCTCGTCACCTTAAAATGACATTGTATAACTTTAAGAAGCACACAGTAGTACCTTAAAGTAATTTACATAATTATTTAAATAAATCACAATCAACAAAACAGCTCTTCAAATAGAAAGATCTTATTTGTTATTTTTCTAGTCCTGAAAATAATGAAGAATGAAGAATATATAAATATATAACTTTTTTTATTATACAGTTAAAGTCATAATTATTAGCCCCCCTTTAAATTTATTTTATTTTTTTTATATTTCCCAAGTGATGCGTAACAGAGCAAGGGCATTTTCACAGTGTGTCTGATCATATTTTTTTCTTCTGGGGAAAGTCTTATTTGTTTTATTTTGGCATGAATAAAAGCAGTTTTAAATTTTTTAAAAAGTCATTTTAAGGGCAAATTTATTAGCCCCTTTAAGCTATTTTTTTTTTAGAAATGTGTTGAAAAAATCTTCTCGCCATTAAACAGAAATTGGACAAAAAAAATAAACAGGGGGCTAATAATTCACAAACAATAAATTCTGAAATCCTCTCCCTCATTTGCCCATTTTTTAATTGAAATGTATTCCTTGCTTAAAGCTACACAATTATCCAACAACAACAAAAAATCTGCAAGTTAATTGAAACTTATGACAATATAATGCTTACAGTAAGTTAGTCTTTGATGCTTTCTGTGTTTTTGTTTTATTTTGTACTTCCCCTTTCTTCATTTTGTTCTCTTTTCTTTTCTTTTTTTCTTTTCTATTTCTTATTTGTTACTTATTGTTCTTATCACTTTGTATGTACTTGTATTCCAGTCTCCTACAGATTACCCTCTGATTTATATTGCACATTTCTTATTTTCTAAATAAAAGTAAAAAAAAAAAAAAAAGTACCTTAAAGTATACAATTGATTACATCAAAGTACTTCTGTAAACCTTTTTTTTTTTTTTTTTGGTAAATAAAAAAAAACATGTTTCGACTCAACTGAGTGACATCCTGTTTTTTGGGGGGTTTAAAATGTAAAACAGTACAGAATATTCAATTCTTTCTTCTTTTCTTCCGTTTATACTTCTGAAAAGCATATTAAGCATAAAGATATGGTGTAAAATAAACCCCATGTACCAAATAGCTAAGAACAAGCTAAACAGAAAACAGGTGTAACCTTTAATATTCCATCCGTTTCACTTTTGAATTGATGCCTATGCCTCTGGATTGATGGATACATAAACAACTGGACAAACAGATAACATTTTAACTACATCAATAACTGCATATTCTTCATTAATTTAGAATTGACTATAGTTAAAATTCACAACTACCATCTAAACATTTAGCATCTTTGTTTGGCTTGCAATGTTTAGATTGAATACTGTATATTTATTTAAAGGGCACATATTTTACCCCTTTTTCAAGATTTAATATAAGTCATATGTGTCCCCAGAATGTGTCTGTAAAGTTTTAGCTCAAAATACCCATCAGATTATTTACCATAGCTTTTTTGAATTTGGGAAATTTGATCTGTTGTGGTGCTATGGTGGTGAATTACATTGTGGTGTTACTGTCTCTTTTTATTACAAGCATGCACTGTTTTAAAAACATTTTAAACTTGTAAAACTCATTTTTGAGGTGCCGATGATCACAGAGAGCTGATCCCAGTTGCTTTTCACACATCCTGTCTTGTGGATATGATTATATGAGTTACTACAGAGACATGTTACGGGGCTGCCAATCAATTCGGTAGGTGGAGAAAATTGCACTCCTATTTTAAAATCAGGAAATAAAAAAAGAGACTTATTATGTTTTTATCACTCCAGTATGAATGTGGAAACACTATACCTGCACACCATTCTGTCTAAACAAATTCTTAATTGTAAATAAATATACGGTGTATATATAACTTTTTTTCACCATGCCTCATTAAATTCCAAGGTACAAGTATAAATTAATTGCTGTAAGTTTAAAGATGACAACAAACAAGCCTGCAGTTCTCAAGAAACACAATCTCAGGCATCATTAATCCACTCAACACACAGATCATTATGCTGGAGGTAGAGGAAGATGAGGCAAATGCATCAATAACTGTGCTGATAAATGCATAAAGTTCAAATTCTTTGCTGTAAAATCCAAAAACACAACTGCTCAACTGACTC